GGGGGTAGTTGACAAAGCAGTTGTAGTTACTTCCCCTGTGTCTGTCTGACATGCTCTGGCTTGGTCTCTCTAAACAACTTGCTGAGGTGTCTAGAGGGAGTAACCCTGCTTTAACTTCACTGTTTACCTGGGTGCTATCTCCCTGGAAGCAGGTTGTGACTCCTCTCTTCCATTCTAGTAGTTCGGTAGGTATGAGAGACTACTTGATCTATTTTCGTGTCTATTAAAAACCCTTTCCGATAGGGATGCACCGATATATCGGCCGCCGATATATCGGCCGCCGAAACATATCGGCCGAAAATGGCACTTTTGGCATAATGCCGAAAGAGCCATGTTTCGGCCGATACATCGGCGCATCCCTGGTTTCTTTCCTCCCCGCTGGGTGCTGTTCCAGTGGGTCTGAGAAGATACGCTATTAACATAGCGCGGAAGCCGGCTGCGCATTTTGCATCGCTACCGCTATGCTAATAGCGGATGACACTCAAATGTATCTTTCCACTCCACAACTCTCCCCCTCAGTGTCCTTGCGTGTCACTAATCTCCCCCAGCTTCTGACAGCGGGGGAGACGGGAGGCTGGGCTTGTCAGTGGATCCAGGGATCAGGCGAGTATTAAAAAACAAAAATGTTTTATTTGATGTACCCGGGGACATGTAGGGCTCATTCACACTGGAATCGGCCGGCATGTACAGCTCCGTGCTGCGTGCACAGCCGTATCGGGCAGCTCCCGGGAAGGGCAGGTGCTGCGTGTGATTAGTACGCAGCCCCTGTCCTTCTCTATGGGAGTATGCAGCCGCACACTCCCCTACGCTCACCCGCCCTGCACGTCCATACGGGTGCATGTTTCCTGGCTCAGACTCAGACAGGATCCATTCTGTCAGCAGGCGGGTACGCTCACCCGCACCGTGGATGGGTGAGCGCAGGGCGGCCGCGTAGTCCCATAGAGAAGAATGGGGGCTGTGTACTAATCACATGCAGCACCTGTCCTTCCCAGGAGCTGCCTGATACGGCCGTGCACACAGCACGGAGCTGTATGTGCCGGCCAATTCCAATGTGAATGAGCCCTTAAAAATGTCCCTGGAATTTAAATCACTGGTCACCTTACCCTGGTGGTCAGTGGGGGCTCAGGGGGGCCCTGGTTGGTAGTGAGGGCTCTCCTTCGCACCAGCCAGTTTGCCCGCAGCAGATGCCGGAGGGCCCGTCACCCTATCCTCCAATGCAGGAGTTCTAGCACAGCACTGTGCTGGAACTCCTGTCACAGCTGAGAGGGGAAAACTGCTCTCCCCTCTCACTGTGTATATGGAGCGGCAGGGTTACTTTTAACTCGGCGGCAGGGGGAGAACAGAGACCGGAAGACAGCGACCGCAAGGAGAGAGGTAGTGGGGGAACAGGCTGCTGTCTCCACAATCGGCTTCCCCACACTACATTTAGTCCTGCTTGTGCAAAGCAGGACTAAAGGTAGAAAGCAACTTACCGCCCGGGACTCCACACCGCTGCAGCATTTCATTCGACGGGTCTCGCCTGTCCCTGCTCTGCGCCCAGGGCCCTGCTCTGCGCCCCCCGGTTGTTACGCTGCTGGTATCACATACAATTATATGTGATGTGCTAGCATTCCGCAGCTTTCAAATGCAGCTGCTGTCACCCAATCATTAACTTGAACTTGACAGCTGCTGTTTGTAAATTGCAGATTAGGGATTCCTGCTGTATGAAATCACAAGTTTCCACCACAGGAATTCCTAAATGCACCCCAACTGTAAGCCCTCATTCACACTAGAGAAGGCCAGCACCTACAGCTCCATGCTGCGTGCACGGCCATATTGTGCAGCTCTCGGGAAGGACAAGTGCTGCATGTGATTAGTACGCAGCCCCCGTCCTTCACTATGGGAGTACGTGGCCGTACGCCGCCCTTCCCTCACCCCAAGTGCAGGTCCGTTCGGGTGAGTGTTTCCTGGCTCGGACACATACAGGATCCATCCTGTCAGCGTACGAGTGCAGACACCCGCACGGACGTGCATAGCGGGTGAGCGTAGGGCGGTGTACGGCCACATACTCCCATAGAGAAGGACGGGGGCCGCGTACTAACCACACGCAGCCCTTGTCCTTCCCGGGAGCTGCCCGATACGGCCGTGCATGCAGCACGGAGCTGTACATGCCGGCCTTTTCTAGTGTGAATGAGGGCAAAGTGTGAATGTAGCCTAAGGGTGATTCCTTTCCCTTGCAGGATCTTATGGAGCCACTCTTTTGTGTGCTACTAAGCTGTGTGTTAAATACTTATAAATGTAACCAGTCAGGCACCACACCCCTAATTAGAAATATATAAGAAGAAAAACGGGGCTTTTAAGGTGTCCAAAACATACAACATGTACATCAGACACACGTAATCTTGTAATAAAAAAAAATACATTTTATTGCATTAAAATCAACATGATTTAGATACTTGGTTACATTCAGAATGTCATAAGCATGATACAATAGCACATTAAAACCAAACTTCCTCCTTATGGTGCCCACATATGTGTATACATTATACCCATATATCATAAACTCCTTGTTTGTCCTTATCCATATATTTATTGTGTAATCCACTGTGGGCCCAGTCTTCAACGGGTTTCGCAATTGCATGTGCTTCATCAGGAAGGTTGGAGGTAATCTAAAATATTGTATCGAAGATAAATCTAAGTATAATAAACTCCATGGCCAACATCATAACGATAATTACAAATAAGGACAATTCAAAACCTACTTCATGCTCACAGAAATGACTGGAACCTTACTCACAAGGACTATTTGAGCTGCCGTGGACCCCCCCCGACGCGCGTGGTTAATTTCAGTACAGCCTTGCATGATGGAATAAATGTCAAAATACTGCAGCGCTGAATACTGAAAAATCGCCTGGACAGAAAGGGGATTTAACGCCCTGGCTAGCAAGTGGTAAAAATTAAAAAAGTTAAAAAAATTTAATGTAGATTTCCACAGGGATATACAATATATATGTTGTTAGAAACTACTGTTTATACATACATGGAGAAACTACTGTTTATACATACTGATCATGGAGATAGAAACTATATCCTACGTAATATATTAATGCAAGACATTACCAATATTGAATAATGGCTTCAGGTAATTTAAGAGCACCTCCCAAAACGGTTGCTTCCCATCAAAATTAGTTACCATGACTTCAAAAAATCGGACCCACAGTGGATTACACAATAAATTTTTGGATTAGGACAAACAAGGAGTTCATGATATACAAGTATAATGTATACACATATGTGGGTACCAGTAGGAGGTATATTGGTTTTAATGTGCTATTGTATCATGCTGATGACCTTCTGAATGTAGCCAAGTCTCTAAATCATGTTGATTTTAATGCAAAACATTTATTTTTATTTCAAGATTACGCATGTCTGATGGACATGTTGAATGGTTTGGACACCCTACTAAACTGTGTGTGCCTACACAAACACACAGGCACAGCAAGGTAAGTCAATCCCCTGCTCTCTGCTCCTTCCTTCCTAAGCCAGTGGATATACCCCTGCTGGCGACTGTGCTGTTCCTTGGGATCTTGTATTTCATAGGCAGTTTAGGGAAGTGGAGCTGAGAGTGTTGGAGACAGTGTTTGGAAACATGATGACTAAGTGCTAAAAATGTAAGGAAATAGTTTGCTGATCAATGTATTTTTGTTAGATTTTGAATAATTATTGAAACAAGTTTGAGAGTTTAATACTACTTTAGCTAAGCCTTGATGAGTGCTGGAAATGTTTCCCAACAGATGTACCTGTTGATACATCTCTCTGCGATTGATCTTCCATAATTCTCTTTTCTGAGCCAAGATGAAAATCAGGTTAGACTCCTGCAGTGCATGATTTCAATGAATTATGGGAGAATTAGAATCCCCACAACTTAAAATCATACCTGATCTACACAATACCTCCCAGACTCAGGTAAACTATCTTTCAATGTTGTAGTATGGGTAGAGTCAGCATGATTTACCATCCTAGGAATAAAGCCTGCATTTCTGCTATGTTCCCATGGCATGTGCAGTGTACACAAAAATGTAAAAGTTAGTATATTTATGTTATAGAGGAAACACAATTACCTATGTTAAAAATGAATTATATATATATCATAATAGAATCTGGATAATCTCTTTACCTTTAACATATATAAACTTAGGCTCACTGGGCTCCGAGATATCTGTGTTCCTACTGTACTTGCAGGTATATTTGCCAGAGTTACTTATGCTTAAATCTGCAATAGCAAATTCAGAAGTTTCTTGTTGTCTAGTTGTGCTGTTATCCTGATCATTTGTCAGATAGAACTTGTGTGCATTTGTCGCATTTTTGCAATGGAACCAAATCGTGTCACCAATTATAATGACATCATTGGGATCACTTGAAAACACTTCTAAAATTGGCTTGTTCAGCAGATCTAGAAAAAAATGAGAAATCAACAAAAGAAATCATAGCTATGTCTACAGTCTGTTTCCACTGGAGATATGTAAATATGGTGTGTTCATAAGAAGCTCCATAGATGTGACAATGTCGCTTTCTGGTAAACTTTCAATTTCCCTTTGTTCTGAATGGATATTCGTATGAATTTCGTTAAATTCGGACATTTGGATGCATCCAACAAGTCCGAATGCGAAAGAATCTTTAATGAAAATTTGGGTCTGTCCACATTTTGTTAAAAACAAAATTGGACTGTGACTGTTCTCTGGCCAATCAGATGGGGTTTTTTTGGCTGTTGGGCAGAGTCATTACAGGCAGAGTGATGTGACTTCCTGTTGTGGATCTTTCCGAAATGAAAATTTGGACGGATTCTAAATCAGAATATCGAACCGAATCGAATTTTGGATCCAAGATCCGAAAAATTAAAGCAATAAAAATCCGAATTGATCTGAAACGAAATGAAAACAAATTTTTTGCAGGTTTAGATTTCTACTTTCTGGTTTGGATGCCCCCCTATAGTCTACAAAGCTTCAATGGTCCTCCAGGCAGAAACCTATGAGCCAATATCCAGCTGAGACTGCAGGTTACTCTCAAACAATTAAACACTACATTAAAGAAAGGCTGCATGGAGTTAGCCATATAATTGTACCAAGTCAGCACATTCTTGAATGCATCTAGATTTTGTGATATGGTTCTGTTTTTTAATAAATTCTTTATGTATACGTTTTTCAGTACAAAAGAAAAATAAACATATGTATAGAAAATACAGCAGAGTATAGCAAGTAAAACCCATAACAGGCAGCAGTACAGTAAATACGAGTGAATGTGCGTGTGTTCTAAAATATCGTAGCTCGGCATTATCTCAGACATCTGTCCCAGCTGACTAGAAGAAGTCGGAGAGCATAGAATCACAAATTTGTATTCACACACCTTGGAGCGATGGATCAGGGGATGGAGAGAGAAGAGAGAGAAGAAAAGGGGGAAAGAAAAGGAAGGAAGGCAGAAAGATGGCAGCAAGAGAAAATCTAGATATTCGCCAACTCATCACAAGTGATATCAAGCCATCTCTGTATCCGGTCTGGACTCCTGATCATCGACTCTCAACCACCGCAGTATTCAGAGTGGGGGCGTTCTTACATCTCCGCCCCAGGCGGGCCAGTTGCCCTCACAGGACTCATCTGGTCCTTTCACTATTCCTCTATCATTAAGGCCACATAGTCTTGGGAAGCAGGGAATTACGTCCAGTAGAACCAGGTACGGTTAAATTGGGAAACCCTGTGACTAGCAGAGGCCAGAAGGTCCTCCATTTTGTAGATATCCCCAATCCTCGACAGCCACAGTGAGATCGGGGGTGCCGACGTGCGCTTTCAGTACAGTGGGATGCATATCTTCGCTGCACTGAGTAAGTGTACCAAAAGAGTCTTGTATCGACGTAAAGGCATAGGTGCCAGGTGTACTAAATATTCAGCCAGGTCGGACCCTAGACTAATACCATTCAATCTTTCGCAAATATGGGCCACCTTATCCCAGAACTCTCCGAGCAACGGGCAGGACCAAAAGATATGTAGTAGCGACACCTACTGACTGACAGCGCCAGCAAAGCGGAGAGCACTGCGGGAACATTTTGTGTAGGGTCTTTGGAACTCGGTACCATCTGGATAAGATCCTAAACCCCGTCTCCTGGACATTACTGGATATGGAAGCTTTTTAAGTCATCCTATCCACTTGGGGTGCCGCAAAAGTGGTTTCCAGATCCCGTTCCCATTTGGAAATGTAAACCGGGTGTAGAAGATCAGGTGGGCCACTGAGTAAATGGTAGGAAACCGACAGGCCATGACAGATGGGACCCCTCTCCAGATATCTTTCCTCAAAGGGAGTGAGAGGGGGCATTTAAGTAAAAACTCCACACTGCCATGGAAGTGATACACCCTGAAGCCTCCCGACTTTATTAAGCCACCGGCCTCCCTGTCCTGGGGCGAGATGGGCAGGTCCGGGTGTCCCAGACACACATCTGTCACCCAGCGACTTCTGTCGGCTCGACAGAGGGCCAGGGGTGGGACCAATGAGCGGGTGATTGGTCAAGCGAGTGGCAGGTCGACCTCTTAGCAAGCCAAGGTAGGCCCCGAGAGTGACCGGGGAGCATGACTGCTCCAGTTGCAGCCATCCCTTCTCTGTCCCACCGGCACCAATCCAGAACCCTTGCCATGTGAACAGCCTTGTGGTATTGCATGGGATCAGGGAACCCAATGCACACTCTATTTTTAGGGTGGGACATAAGCAGTTGACTTAGACGATGGCCCCTGTGCGCCCAAAAAAATCTGCCAAAATCCCCCTTCACCCTCTTCAGAAAACCTGTCGGGATGTGTATTGGTAATGTCTGGAGGAGATAAAGGAGACGGGGCAGAACATTCATTTTGAGAATGCTATTCTGACCAAACCATGTAAATATGTCCTTCGTCCAGAGCTGTAGGTCCAGTTTCATCTGGGCAAGAAATGGTGGGAAAATGGCCGAGAAGATCCCTCCCAAAGAAGGGGTCAGGAAGATTCCCAGGTATTTAATACTGTGCGAGGCCCATTTGAACGGAAAGTAAGAAGAAAGGGAGTCTAGGACTGCATCGGGCACGTTAAGGTTCAAGGCCTCCGACTTCTGTAGCTTAATCGCAAAGTTGGCTAGGGATTTGTAGCGGTCAAACTCTGCAAGAAGGTTTGGTAGTGAGGTAGCAGGGTTTGTCACGATAAAGAGCAAGTCCTGCCACTTTATGGGTCGATTCTCTCACAGACATTCCTGGAAAATTTGGGCTATTCCATATGCGGCACAAAAGAGGCTCCAGGGTCAGTACAAACAGGAGGGGGGAGAGTGGGCATCCCTGTCTCATGCCATTAAAGAAGGAGAAGTCAGCATAAGCTACCCCATTCAGTCGTACGTGAGCCGTCGCATGGGAATATAGGCTATCTATCCATGTGGAGAACGTGCTTCCAAACCCCACGTATGTCAGTTGTTTTCAGGAAAACCCAGTCCACCCTATCTAATGGAGAATGGTTGCAATGTCCAATGACCTAGCTAAATGGATGGTATTCAGAGCTCGCATTGTGTTTTCCTTAGCTTCTCTGCCTGGTATGAAGCCTACTTGGTCAGCATGTACTAGTCCAGGCATATGGGGAAGTAATCTATCAGCCAGGATTTTCGTAAAGAGCTTTAGGTCTACATTGAGCAGAGAAATAGGGCAGTAATTAGCACATTAGGCTTGGTCCCTACCTTCTTTCGGGATAACTGTTATAGACGCCCGTAGCGTGTCAACAGGGAGCGCGTGGGCATCGAGAATTGAATTAAAGGCCCTGAGGAAGGGTTGTGTCAAGTATGAAGAAAATTGTTTGTAATAAAAGAGCATTAATCCATCAGGTCCCGGTGCTCTATGTGGTTTTGACTCTTTCAGAGCTCGGTACAGCTCTACCTCGGACAGAGGCCAAGCCAAAGCGAGGCAGCCCAGACTCCTCAAGGTAGGTAAGTATGGCCTGAGTCTTGTCCTCAAGGACTTGGCCCATGAGTGATGGGGACAAACCATACAGAGATTGATAAAATTCCCAAAAACGATCCGCTATTTACAGAAACTCCCTCAGAACTCTCCCCGAGCTCGAGAGTACTTGCGACACGGCCGTGCGAGGACGGCTTTCCCTTAAAGCTCTTGCTAGGAGGATCCCCGGTTTGTTGCCCCATTCATAAAAGTGTTTGCGCAACCAGGCGCGCCGAGCTTTCACCTTATCCAAGAAAAAGGCCCGCAGTTTTTTCCTAAGAGCCAGGAGCTCTGAGAGAGTCGACTGAGCCTGGGACTGTTTATGGCTCTGTTCCAAGGTCCGAATACAACTAGTCAGATAAATGATCGTAGCTGAACAAATGTTTTTGAGGCGGGAGCCCTGGGAGCTCAGGAAACCCCCTAATCACACATTTGTGTGCCTCCCACAGAGAGAGAGGCCGTATCGCGTACGTCTGATTAGCCCCAAAATACTGATGGATTTGCTGCTCTAGAGCAGCACTGACCCCCACGTCCTGTAGGATTAACTCAATAAGGCACCACTGCCAGGTCTGGAGGGTGTCATCTCCCAATCGGATCTCCATGGCCACCGGGGAATGATCAGAGATTGTACAGATCTCAATATAGTACAATCCTGTGCAAGTCCGACTGTCTCAGCAAAAAGTAAACCAGGCGTGAGTACGACTGGTGAGGCGTTGAGAAAAATGTGTAGTCTCTGGCATGGCCATGAAGAACCCTCCAGATGTCTAACAGCTGCTCAGTTTGTAGTATTTTTTTAAACCGCCGGAGAGAGGCATATGAGAGATGTGACGCGTTGCACGAAACATCCAGAAGTGGCTCCAAGGCCACATTGAGATTGCTCCCTATAATAAGGGTACCTTCCACGAACGCAGACATTTCGGATAGGCAATATTCCAAGAACGCTATCCGATTAACATTTGGGGCATATACATTGACTAACGTGACCCTTGATCCCTCTAAATCGCCCTTGACTAATAGGAAACGGCCCTCAGGATCCTCCAGGGCTGATCCAAAGACTCATAGCGCTGATCTTGCGATCACCGTACTCACCCCTTTAGACCTAGAACCCAGAGAGTTTGCGTGATAAGTGTGGGGCAATCTGTAGTTGGTTAGTCTCTGGGCTCTACCCAGCTGAAAATGAGTCTCTTGGAGAAACGCCACTTGCACCCTCTCTCTCCACAGTTCCCCCAGTACCTGAGAGCATTTCTCTGGAACATTCAGGCCCTTCACATTCCAGGTGAGCATTATAGTAGGCCATTTAGGCAGGACCCACTGGGGCGGACATGTAGGGCACGAGTCAGCCATGACCGCACGGCTCTATGCGTTGCTTTCTCAAACCTCTGGCGCCGATCCGTCTGGAATATCTAGAGGGGTAGAAGAGAAAGAGAAGAGGGGGGGGAGGGAAAGGGCAGTAGGTATAGAGCACAGCAAAAAGGTCAGAAGGCAGAAAAAGAATAGAAGTAAATTGAGGGAGAGGGACGCACCATCCCACAGTAGGTACAGAAAGATAGAGAATGAAAATACAAAAAACTAAAATACTATATTTTACAAAAAGAATCAGAACGCCGGGGGCTGCCCCACGGAGTTGCCCTTTGTGGGGAAGTAACCAAAACATGAAATCAGTGAGCGGCCCGAGGCCAATAATATAACATAACCATTATGAGAAATATCAACGTATCATGGAAGTATGCCGTGCCCCCCACAGTCCACGAATCCCATGAGAGCGGACCATTGACATAGCTCCTGCCCAGGGACCCAAGAGGAGACGGAAGGCAGAAGGCAGCCAGTGCCCAGACGAGCGAGAAAAAGAACCCCAAGTCACTAGAGACCTCAAACCTCTCACGGGGTTCCCCCTCGAGGGGGGGGGGTATAGTTCAGCCGGGCATTGGGCCTACCCCACCGTCGCCCCCCCCGGATCTACAAGAAGGTCCCAGAACCACCCCTCTCCCGCGCCATGTGGCCCTCCCTCCCCCCAAGTCATGCACATATCCCCAGAAAATAGGGTTTCCTATCATCAACATGGCATATAAACTCAGGAGAATAACATGTAGCAGCAGCCACATAGAGGAACCTCTGGTTTAAGCACTCAGGGGGGTATGTAGTCTACTCAAGTGCATAGGAGTCACACTTGGCCCCGCCATCCTGGTCGTCTGGCACACCCCAGCAGCGGGCGGACAAGACCCCCAATAACAGTAGTAGCCATGGATAGGGGAGGGGGGCGCCAAACGGAGCTCCTCACTAGGCTCTCACCAGGCCCTGTCCTGTACATCAGTAAAGTAATAGGGGCACACTTCGGGCTTACGAAGCGATAATCAAGTTAAAGCACACAAATCTTGAACCCGACTTGCAGAGGGGTGATCTCAGTCCTCCCTGGGCGCAGGGCCATGCCGGTCCCGGACCCGATCTCCACTAGGTCTGTGGGATCTCTGTCTCCTTGGTCTCAGATTACCTGGGGGAGGGTCTGCCCGATCCGGGAATGGAAGTAGCCAGCCTTGCACCAGAACAGGGTCACAGCCCAACAAGGAGAACAGCGCTGGAAGTTGATCCGGCCTATGAACTGCAAAGTGGCTGTCACCCTGTCGGACCAGGTGGAACGGGTGGTCCAAACTCTACGAAGCACCAGCCACTTGGACACACCGGAGAACTGGTCGGAGTTGTCTCCGCATATATAGCGTGTAGCTAGAGAGATCTGGCAGAAAGGAGATGGGGGCGCCATCAAGTCAATGTTTTTTTTACACCTTGCCTGGCGGATTGTTTCTTTTACAGTAAAAAAGTGAATGCGACATAGAACGTCTCGAGGGGCATCATCTCTCGTGTTAGTTGGGCCGTAGACCCTGTGCACTCTGTCCAACTCCAAGCTCATTGTCTAACAGCATGTTTAGTATAGTGTCTGCCCCTGAGGTGGCCCCCGGGATGCCTCGGAGGCGAATGTTGTTCCTGCGACTCCTATTTTCCTCATCATCCACTTTGAGGTAAAGTGTAGTGAGGGCCTGCATCTGGGTAGTTTGTGTCTGCTCTACCACCTGTAAGCAGGAGTCCAGAGAGGTGCCGGCCTTCTCTAGGGATGTCACCCTGTCCCCAACTCCCTTTATCTGCTGCCTAACGGCTGTCAGCTCCTGTTTTAGAGAGCCCTCCAAGCTCTCCACAATAGTGTCCAGGTCAGCCCTTAGTGTCATAAACATGCCCCTGAGTTCTTGCCCTGAGACCGGGGAGTGGGCATTTGAATTGGCTGAGAGGTGGGAGCGTGTTGAGGAATCCGGTCGCAGTAGCAAAGGGGTGGGTACCAGTGAGCTGTTCGGCCGTTCGTCGGCGGAGGAGATGTCATCGTCCTCTGCTTGGGAGTGTGATTCAGCCATGCTGCTGTGGGCCGGAGAATGACGCGTGGGCGCCATCTTGGCTGAGGATCCGACAGCCCTCGCCTCAGATGCGGGCTGGGCGAAGAAATGCCTAAGGTCTGGCCTGGGGGTGTTCCTTGGGGTCCCCTTACCCTTCCTCCTCTTTGACATTGCCACAGAAAAAGTATTTGCTGCCACGCCAGACAGCTATATTGGCCTCGAACGGACGGAGCTCACACGCCGCACGTCCTCACAATTCCATGCCTC